TTTTCCACTTGGATGCCTAATTTCGTAGTTTGTCATTCAAACTGATATTCATCTTTTGTGCTTGCATTTGCATTTCCTCTTGTGTTTTACATCTTTATTTCTTGCATTAATAAAGGTCGAGATGTGCTTGTGGTGGTGTTTACCCCACACTTTGTTCCTCCCTTTGCTTGTGTGTTGCATTCCATGTTTGCATCCATATTTTTACTCTCATTTGTGTTTGATTTTTCTTCTTCCTTTGTCTTCCTTTGCCATGTTCCCCTAGAATCTAATCTTCCTTGTTTAAGGTGGGTTATGATAGACATTAGTACTCAAACCATGCATGCTAACATTAGGGTAGCTGTTCCCCCTTTTAATCCTAACCTTAGGATCATTTTGCATGACAACGTTAGGGCCAAGTTTCCCTTAGACCTTTCGTGCCTCTCTCTCTTTCTCATTTCAAAACAATTCTAACTCATCTAATAAATGCGATGAATGTTGTACACTACGAGCCTTAAGCTACATGGGGAATGATGAGTGAGGGGTCCCCTCTCGCTTGTCTAGAGTGTTTAGTGTACGTCCCGTTTGGGGGCGATACTCGACGCATTCGCCCCTATGTCATAGTCTTTAGTGCAACGTGAATCACAAACCGAATTAACTCACTTCACTAAAAAACACAAACAAACTTCAAACTTTTTCCTTCGCGATTAATTGGAAAACCTTTTTCATAAAAAGAGTGTTGTTAACCTTCGGTTCTACCGCAAACGGGCATCGTCCCTAACTGTTGGAATGAAGGTTTAACCCTACTCGGTTAAAACACTTAATCAACCTGTGGTTTCGTGTCAGCCCGAATTACGTTTGCTCTGATTTCTCATACCAGATGAGGATACGTAGGCACAAGACGACGATGTCTTGGCGAGCAACTTTCCCCACCTTTTCCCGTAGTTAGCCGAACTACGTTGACTCAGACTTTCCCATTGCACGAGGGAATACGTAGGCGCAAAGCGGCGATGCTCTTCCGAGTCTCTTTTCTTTTCTTTTTGTCATGTGAGCCTTTAGTTAGATAGATAAACACACCCTTAGATAGACAACAAGCGTGGATCCCGTCGAGTACGACAGATGTGAGGGGTGCTAATACCTTCCCCTTGCGTAACCGACTCCCGAATCCAGGACTTGGTTGTGATGAACTCATCTTTTCCCTTTTTCGTTAGGTTTTTCTGATCGTTTCCTTTCCCTCTCTTTGGGATAAATAACGAAAGGTGGCGACTCTTCTATTTTCCGCCGGGTGTTTTTCGCAGTTGCGACACACTTGTGTTTGAGGTGTGAGACTTTTGCTTGGACTTTGGTCCTTCAATTTGAGTTTGATCATTCTTGAATTTGTTTGAAAACTTGGGTTTGAATTGATGGATATCACTTGAGTTTGTTTCTGCCCCACTCTATTTCTCTCCCATTTCTTTGATCGAGGTTTATTGTTTAACATCTTTCTTCTTAAGTTATATGTGGCATTTGGTTTTGTGTGTTTGCCTTACTTGTTTTTGTGTTCTAACCTTCATCTTTGTGACTTGTGTGTGTCATTGGTGTGTGTGTTTGCATATTCATTGTTGTTTGTGCTTCTCTCATCTCTTTCCAACTTTCATGACTTGTTTAAGTCTCTCTTTCTATTTTCATTTATGATTGATTAGTAATGTGTTTACTTGTGCTTGCTCCCTTGATCCCTTAGGATTCTTAATCCCTCTGTTTAAGATGGGAGTAGGAGAGACATTAGGCTTTCAATCCTTTGCATGATAAAATTAGGTAGTACCCTTTCATCCTAACTTTAGGACCACTTTGTATGACAACATTAGGGTTCTCAGTTCCCTTTAGTGTCCTTGTGTATTCTCTTCTCATCTCAAACTCTTTCAAGACACTTAATAAAGAATGACGAGTGTTGTACGTTACGAGCCTTAAGTACATAAGGAATGATAAGTGGGGAGATCTCTCTTCATATTGTCTAGAGTGTTTAGCGTATACCCTTTGGGCGATATACGACGCATTCGCTTTTATGTCATAGTCTTTAGTGCAACATGAGTTTCAAACTAATTCAACTCATTTCTTCTTTAAAACTCACAAACAAATTTCAAACCTTTTCATCCTTCGGGATTGTTTCAAACTTCATTTTCAGAAAAGAGTACGTTACTTTTTCATTCTACCGCAAACAGGCATCGTCCCTAACTGTTGGAATGGAAGCTTAGCGTCACTCATAAAAAACACTTAACCAACCATTGGTCTAAGTTACCCGAACTACTTGCTCTGATTTCTCATACCAAATGAGGATACGTAGGCACAAGACGATGATTTCTTGGCGAGCAACCTTCCCCCCCATCACCCGTAGTTTCCCGAACTACGTTGACTTTGACTTTCCCATTGCACGAGGGAATACGTAGGCATAAGACGACGATGTCCTATCGAGTCTCTTCTTTCTCTTCACCCCGTTTAGCATTAGCCTTTAGATAGTTTTCACCCATAGATTAGACAACAAGCGTGGATCCCGTTGAGTACAACGGACGTGGGGGGTGCTCATACCTTTCTCTTGCGTAACCGACTCCCGAACCTAAAATTTGGTTGCGATGACCTTGTCTTTTCCCGTTCTCTTAGGTTTTCTTCGATCGTTTCCTTTCTCTCTCTTTGGGATAAATAACGTTCGGTGGCGACTCTTCTGTTTGTTTCCGCCGACCCTTTTCGCAGCTGCGACACCTTACAAAAAAAATTTAATTTACCAAAAAAAAAAACTAGTATTCAAATTTTTAAACTTATACTAATGATTTTATTTTTAATACTTTCAATTTATTATATTTTATTTTTTTTATATTGTATAAAGTTACAAAATTACACTTACAACAAAATTATACATATATTTTAAAAATATTTATTGATATTTTTTAATTGAATTTTAAATTAACTTTTATTTATATTTAATTTTTTTTATATTTTAAATTATATTTTATAGGAGTAAATTTGTAAATTATTTTCTTATTCTATCCGATTGAATTTTGATTCAGCTCATACTTAGAATAAAATTTGAACTAGTGAAACATAATAGGATAAATATCAGGATTAATTTATCATATCTGTAATGTCATTAAATACTGAATTGAAATAAAATATGGTAAAAAAATTATATTTTATCTCTTATCCTGCGCCCTACATAGACTCTTATATCTATTAAAATAATTGGTACTATAATCAATATGTATAATTTGAATAAAATTATTATCCACGTACAATTTTGGCATAAATGTTTTTAATGTTGACTTTTTTATTCCGAATGAAAATGAGTAAAAGTTATATTTAGAAAATGACTATGAACTTATCCAAAAATAAAGTTATAGATAATTTTATATTTAAATTCTATTTAATATCTTAAAATAAATGTCGCATAATAAATTTAGAGGAATGAAAAATAATATTTTCTTTTTCTATTATTTGAATAACTCATAATAGCGATTAAGAGTGGTAAAGTGGGCAACCTGTCTCGTTTAAATCCGTTCAAAAGCGAGGCGGGCCGACTTAGACGTTCGATTTCAAAAGTCAAACTCGTCTTATTTACTAACGAGTTGGCGAGTTGTCAGGTCGGTCCGCTAATTTTTTATTTTACAATTTGATTTACTATATAATTTACAAAAAAAAATTATTTATTACCAAAGAGATCGATAAAAGATTTTTTTTTAAGAACGCATAATAGAATTTCAACATGTCTTAAGTCCAAACAATTTAAAAAATAAAATAAATAAAGACACATTGCATAAAATAGTAGTGCATAAAATATCAACATCTGACTTTCTCACTATTTACATCATATAAACTCTTATATTGACTGATTCATTAATAGTTAAATTCTAAATTTGTCATACGTATACACTAATCAAATCCTTCTTTTTTCTTAAAATCAACATCTATTTCTAAAAAAAACATGTGAGTTAATGTTTGACAACTTAATAATTTAGCATGACATATAATTGTTCTTTTGTTTTAAGTTTTTCAATCAACGTATTAGAAAGTTATATAAAGAACGTTACAATTATAATCCGTTTTGTTTGTATAATAATTTATAATACAATTTAATCAACATAAACCTAAGAGAAGAGTGTTATTTTTATAGTTAAAGTTGTTTTAATTCTAAGTAAAAAAATAAAAAAAATTTAACAAAAAACTCGTGGGCAAAACACGTTTTGGCCCGCTTTTTGAAGCGGGTTAGGTGGGGCAGACCAATTTAAAGAACCGAGCCAAAAATCTTAGTTCGGTCTGTAAAAAATGACGGGTCAAATGAACCAATCCGGCGGACCCAACTTGTTTTACCACCTCTATCGGTGATACCCTAATTTTTCTAACCGAGAGACTTCAATGATCAAAAATCAAAATAAATTTAATCAAAATAAATATTATCTCATTCTATTCCATTTGATTTTAAAGAATTCATATAATAAAAATTCATTTATATTGTTGTATAAACAAATAAATATTTTTAAAATAGTTAATCAATTGGGTTAGAGGATGTGTGTTTGTATTAAAAAATAGATATGTAATTTTTGAGAGTTGGCAACAAGAAAGAGTGATTCTTCAATTCTTTCCTTTCTTCACCCGCAATTACATTTGATTTATATTTTGAAACAATAAAAGCAAAATCAAAATCATTAAAACAAAAAGAATAGAACCGTAAATCCATCCTATGGGCAGGGATACAACCGTAATTTCCAATTGCCGCGTAACTTCCTACGAGTTTCCTAACATACCATCATAGCAAGACCAATCTCAACCGTTAGATAATCATTCTTGATTCTCAGATCTCGAAACCCTAGACCCTTTTTAAATCGCAATTCAAATCCCTCCTCTCTCTCTCTTCCCCATTCGTGTTCTTTCTTCTATATATATATATATATATATATATATATATATATATATATATATATATATATATATATATATATATATATATATATATATATAATAACGCAGAATTTCGTCGTTTTCTAACTGTTTTTTGAATTATGGCTTTGAAAGAGAGATTTTCTTCATCGCCTGAAACGTCGTCGTGTGGAGAACGTTACGTAAGCTGGGAAGAGGTAGTGGTGTCGATGGATAAGGGTGGAAGGGAGGTTCGTTATTTTCTGAAAAAGAAAGGCGGTGGTTCGGATCTCGCTCTTATAGGTAAAGAGAAGAGTCCGAGGCATATGTCTTATCACTATGCCATAAGAGACTCTTCTCTGGGTCCTTTTGTAAAACTCAAATCGCGTAGACATGTTGTTGATTGGTTGGATTCAATTGTTTCATGTATGTTCATTCATACCTTTTCTTTCACCTTTGTGTTAATCGCGTAGAAACTTTTTTTTTTGAGTCTATGTATCGGATGTTCCAATATTTCTTTTCTCTTTTGTTTATATATTTTTTTTCTATTCTGTTTGGTCTATTATATGGATCTCTTGTATGTCAAGGGTTTTGGTTCATTCAATTGTTGTTTTACCTCTGAAATTTTCAGATTCTTCTTCCGGGGAAGCGACCATGGTTGTTGGGAATTATAGTTTTGAACATGAGATTGGAACCTTGAAGGTATTGATGGATCATGGTTTTTATGTTTACTCCCTTTGCCTGTTCTTTTGAATCTGTTACTCTGCTTTCATGAATCTCTAATTTGACTTGAATCAAATGATATTACTTATTGAATTATTCTGTTGTTTTCTTTTCAGGATAATTACACGCCAAAGCTGCGCAATTGTACACAAGAATTTTCATGGATAGGCTTACCGTGGACATGTAGGAAAAGAAGAAATCACTATCAGTCATTTATGCGTAATGGTTTTCAGATATCTGTGAGTATCTTATCTAGCCTTCATCTTTTCTTTAAGAGTAATTTATATGCATTGTACTATTTTACACCTTCAACCAATCACAATACCTTGGTTGTATGACTGACTTTTAGGTTAGATACGATGAAAGTCAAATTTTTGAATAAATCATTCCATGTGCATATGAATTAAATATTTGTATTTTTATCTCCCTTGTATTCACCACATATGTTTTGTAATCTGACTTATAAATTTGTTTCTTTTGGCTGCCTGCCGTTTCAAATTGCTTTCAGGCGAATGATTTTGTGTTTGTTTTAGCAGAAGAGAACAAACGTCTGGTTGCCTACTTGGAAGACTTGTACGAGGATTCCAGAGGCAACAAGATGGTTGTAGTTCGCTGGTTTTACAGAATTGATGAGGTTGGTATTGTTTTACCTCACAGTTTTAGTGACAGAGAAGTTTTGTTTTCTCTTTTTCTTCAAGATCTGAGTATTGAATGCATAGATGGTTTGACTTCCGTCCTCAGTCCCCAGCACTTCGCAACTTATCGGAATGAAGTTCGTCACGCCTGTCCAGAACCATTTGTGTGCAGCAAGAAGTTTGATAATGATGATGTCAAACACTTTGATATAACTCAAATTAAGGGTTATTGGAGACAGGAAATATTGAGCCACATGTGTGCCAACTTAGGCTCAAAGTCTAATTGGAGTTCAGGGCAATCAGAAGATGGCCCAGAAGTTGAAGAAAATCTCCAGTCCTCTTCTGGGATCAGACCTATGAAGAGACAGCGTTGTACAAAAGTTGACGGAACAGATGCTGTTGAGTTAGTTGCAATTGAATCAGAAAATTTGAGTAATTGTAAAATTGTTGCCAAAACCTGCTGTGGCAACAATTCCTTAAAACTGGGCACCATTAAAAAGGCAAATGAACCTGCTTCACATTATTTAGCTGTAGGTTCCAAAGTTGAGGTCCTCTCTCAAGACAGTGGTATTAGAGGATGTTGGTTTAGAGCTTCAATTATCAAGAACAGCAAAGATAAAGTGAAGGTACAATATCACGACCTCCAGGATGCTGAGGATGAAGCTAAGAAGCTTGAGGTGCGTTAAAATATCTTTTACCCTTTTCTTAAGTATTGAAATATTTGTTATCTGATGAGACTAAACTTTATTATTTTATTTTTTTGAAGGAATGGATTTTAGCTTCTAGAATTGTGGCACTTGATGATCTCGGTCTTCGACTACCTGAGAGGACCAAGATCCGACCACAGTCAAACAAAAGTGGAAATTCATTTGTGGCTGATGTTGGTTACATTGTTGATGCCTGGTGGCATGATGGATGGTGGGAAGGCATTGTGATTCAAAAAGAGCTTGATGCTCGATATCATGCCAAATATAATGTTTATTTCCCAGGTCTGATCTTTTGGTTGAAATTTTTTGCATTTTAGTTACAGGCTTAAACTTGTTAATAGTTTTTGTGGTTCATGGAGTTTTAGGTGTCTTATTAATTCTTAAGTTAATGTCTTTTGCAGGTGAAAAGACGGTCTCAGTTTTTGGTCCTAGTAACTTACGGCATTCTCAAGATTGGACAGGGAATGGGTGGGTGAAATTAAGGGAAAGGGCAGATATTGTTACTTCTAAATTATCATTATCAAGCTTGAGCACAAAACAAAATTTATGCACATCTTATAACGAAAAAGCAAACGCAGTACCTATGGGGGATGGAAAACAATCTAAGCAGACTGATATCCACTCAGGTTTTTATGAAAAGGATAAATCTTTTATAAAGCCTGAGGTTGTTCCGGATCTTTTGAAGGATGTTTTGTCATCTCAGTTAAGGTGGAAGTCATCCCGGAAAAGGAATCAAGGCCGGACCTCTCCCCTGAAGCAAAAGTGCAGTGATAGACACAGAAAATTGTCCCCATCTTTTCTGGAGTCTGATGAATCAGATAGTTTTGTGATTCCAGCTTCATTGAAAGATGACCATGATGACTATAAATACCAGGGAGATCCTTCCATTTTCAGTTCCTCTGTCGTCCCATCTTTAACCAACATGGTTATGTGTAGATGACTCCATGTTATTTTCTTTAGAATGGTGTCTGCTTTTAGGGTTACCTACCTCATCCTCCCATTTAGCAGAAACAGAGTATATTTATTTATTTTATTTAACCCTTAAACCTTTATTCATCCATTCCATCCTTTTTTTTAATGGTTTCTTCAACTGTTTTCTTCTAAGTCTTTTGTCCCTTCCTTTTTGTGTGTGGGTTTTTTGTAGCATCGGTGCCTCATTTTATTTGGTCTCTTGTATCCCTTTGAAGCAAGAATGTTGGCCTTCACAAGTTTTTGGACAGGAAAGTGTAACTTAGTGGAAAAGCCGACTATGGGCTTTTACTTTAGGGATAGTTTTTACATGTTTGAAGTGCAAACAATGTGTAACTTTGGGCAATAATATAAAAGTTCACCTTTCTTGTTTTATTTTATCATGTGTGAATATTTCAGTTGATGGATGCGGTGTCTCTGTCATATGTTAATCCCCAATTTGGTGATAGTAGTAATTTATTTCTTCTAAATTTTATTGTTGTGTTGGTATTTGGTTAACTCACACGTTGAGCCTGAAAAAAGTGGTGTCTGCACTTGTGAATCCAACAATAGCAGTAGTCAAAACCGGCTAGTAGAATAGAAATAGTAATAATAACGCCTATTAAGGTTGATGATTGTCTTTTTTTTTTTTTTTTGCCGTATTGAGTTTTTTCAAAAAGAAATGTATAATACTGCCAGCTCATCCGGAAATTGACCACTTGGATATATCCAAACCAGGATAACATCGTAGTACCAATAAAAGGAGCCACTTGTTTGACTTTAGCATCTACAAGGCCCGGCCATACGCTCGTGGATCAGAGGATCCAATGCTCTGATTGTTTATATTTCTACCGTGCAATATTACTCATTTTTTTTACTCATTTTGAAATTTTTTACTTCATACCCCATTATTTATTTCTCTTCTCTTATGTTATATTTTTCTATCAAAATATCCTTATTTAAATAAATATAAAAAATTTCTGATTTAATTATTTAATTCAGAATTTAATAAATAACTTTATTTTTAAAAACTATTTTATTAATATTCACAGCAAATATTGCAAGCATTATTTATACTATTATATAATCTTATAATATCTCCATCAAAAATTTTCCGCCAAAACTTTTTTCTTTAATTAACTAATTAAATATAAATATAATTTTTTGAAAAATAATGTATAAATTGATGAGATATAAATTTGATTAGTGGAAAAATAATTTTATGAAAAAAATGGAATAAAGTAATGAAATTAGTGGGAGTTATAAAAATTTTAAAATTTGTGGAAAAAATAGAATAATGTAGTGAACTGTTTTATGAATTATATAATCTTATAATATCTCCATTAAAGATTTCTCGCTAAAGCTTTTTTCTTTAATTAATTAATTAAATATAAATATAATTTTGTGGAAAAAAATGTATAAATTGATGAGATATAAATTTGATTAGTGAGAAGATAATTTTGTGAAAAAAAAAATGAAATAAAGTAATGAAATTAGTGGGGTCTATAAAAACGTTAAATTTTGTAGAAAAATTAGAATAAAATAATAAAATTAGAGGGGGCTATAAATTTTTTTAACTTTTTTTAGAAATTATGCTTATTAACTTATTTTTGTATTAAGTAATTTTAACGTTTGCATTATATGTCTTATTTATTTTTTAATTTAATATTATTATCTGTTCTATTAATATGGGGTTAGAGAGATGTTACGAGTTAAGAGAGGTTAATTGTTTGGAGTTGGGATCCTCTCCATTTATTTGTCTCTCCATTTTCTCTATTATTATAGTTTTTATGTATATAAAATCAACTAAATATTAATTATATGTCACATGTCTTAGAAATATGTGTTATTTATACATAAAAATTATTGTAATGGAGAAAATGGAGAGACAAAGAAATAGAGAGGATTCCAACTCAATTGTTTGTATGATATAAACAGAGAGTGTTAGTGGAGAGAAATTTGAGAAATAAACATGTTAAATATTTTAATTTAATTATTATTTAATTAATAATAATAATATATATTTATTAATAATAAAAGATTAATTAATAGAATGAAGAGAAAAGTTATGTTGGGTAGTTACCGTAACACCCATTTTAATTATCTAGTCTTTTTCTGTGTTATTTTATTTTATTTTTTTTCGGTGTGCCGTTTGTGGGGGTGTGGTTGAGTGCGATAGTGAGTGCCTTAAGTTGGAGATTAGTTACTAAACTTTAGACTTTGATAGTAATAATGTAATTATTAGTGATAATAATTTAATAGATAATGGTAATATTATTATTAATATTATTATTATTACCATTATTATTATTATTATTATTATTATTATTATTATTATTATTATTATTATTAAGGAATAAGAAAATAGGAAGGGGTATTTTTTTTGTGAGTTGGAAAGGAAGGAAGAAGAGAAAACACGATAGAAAGGGAAGAAGAAGAACAAGGTCAAGTTGGAAAGAGAGGAATTGAAGGGAAGAATCAAGGAGGAGGAAGAAGAAAAGCCAAGATTATCATTCTTCAGCAGCTTGATCGAGTTATCGAGGTAGGGGGGAGGGAGAAACGGGTCAAAATCGGTATATTGCATGAATTCTAGGTAGTGGGATTTTCCCCAATCCCATGGTAGATTGATGATCATGTTTGATATGTTATTGAAATTCTGAATTGTTGATGGTAAGATAGGTTTGTTGCATGTGGTTGTTTGGATGATTTGAGATTTCCGGGCAGATTGCAATTTTAAGCCGAAAATGAGTTAATCAGTAGAGCTGAGGTTTTATCGGGTGGAATCTAGAATAGGTTAGGTAGTTAAGTGGTAGAATGTTGAACTAGTGCTGTGGGAACTGGTTTGAGTAAAATCGGGCGATTTCGGAGAGTATAGTCGATTCTGAACAGTGGGGTTTTTGTGAAATCGCAGACATTCGCGAGCACTTTCGCTAGGCGAGCGAATAACGAGCATTCGCTGATGCTTCGCTAGGCGAACTGGGTAGCGAGTGCTTCCAGTAGCCAATGTCTACCTTCGCTAGGGAGTTCGCTGAGCGAGCGAATGACGAGCATTCGCCGATGCTTCGCTAGGCGAGTGAGCCAGCGAGCTTGATAGTAGTTTGTAATTTTGTGCTGTTTTGTTCTGTTCTCTTGTGTTGTAGGACCCTTGTTGGTCATGATTAAATGTGAGATTGGTGTTGAACAGTCATGAGTGTATGTGTGGTGTTGAAATGTGATTTCTGTGTTATTCGTTTAATTTGAATAATTCAATTGGTGTATGTGAATATGTATGTGCGATGTATAAAATGTGATCAGGAGGATCGTGTGGACCTTGTGTGCTTGAATTGTTGTTGTGCATTAGTGTCGTGCATATCATGATATTTATGGTGGGGTTGAATCGTTGCTCGGATGGAGTGTATGCGATTCACCCGTACTCCTGTGTGGAGAATGGTGGGATGGATCGTTGCTCGGATGAAGTGTATGCGATCCATCCGTACTCCTGTATGGAGAATGGTGGGGTTGAATCGTTGCTCGGATGGAGTGTATACGATTCACCTGTACTCCTGTGTGGAGAATGGTGGGATGAATCGTTTCTCGGATGGAGTGTATGCGATTCATCCGGTGCTCCCTTGTGGAGGGTTGATGGCCCGGTGTCCATCGTTGTTGTTGAGTCGGTTCCGTATATCATGGTGTTGAGTTGCATATGTTTGCATTGTCTTGAGTGTTGTGTTGGTGTTGGACAATAGGTCTAGGTTGATGTATGTTGAATGATATTCCTGTGATTACTGCCTTTTATTCATGTACATTATTACCGCTATATTTTGATCGTGATTTTTCACCCCTTTTGTTATTGTTGTGGTCTGTGCTTCTTCAGAAGTACAGATAATCCAGGTGCGTAGCTAGTTTGGATAGTGGCGAGTCGAGTTGTAGGGATGCTCTGATACGTAACACGGGGCTTTGGGGAGCTTATTGTTTTTCTGATGATTTTGTTTTTACTCGTATCATGTTTTGTTGGAACTTTTGATGATGTTTTATATATCTTGGGCGGATGGCCGAACATGATGTATATATGATATTTTTTTGCTGTTACCGTTGAAAACCATTTAATGGAGTATTTTGTTGAGTTTTTATTGTGATATCCCGTTTTGGTGTGGCAACTCTGATAATTGTTTTGATTTAAATTGCATTTATTTTATTTTTGGGAAACGGGGTGTTACAAATTGGTATCAGAGCAGGTCGGTCCGTCCGGCCAGTGTAGTAGTTGAGTCTATCTGTAGGATAGCGTTTGCGTATCTGTTAACCTGTCCTTGTTGTTGTTGTTGAGCAGTATGGCGGGAAGGAATGATGTTGTGTTGGCCATGGCGATGCAAGCAATGGCGCAAGTGGTTGCTAATCAGAACCAAGCTGCGGATGCGCAATTCAGAGATTTGGCGCAGTTCCAGAGTAACAAGCCGCCGACGTTTCAAGGAGGAATTTTGGATCACAAAGGTGCTCAGAAGTGGCTGAAGGCGATTGAGAAGATCTTCAGGACGATGGGTTGTAGCGATGAGCAGAAAGTGAGGTTTGGTACCCACATGCTGGAGGGTGAAGCGGAAGCTTGGTGGGACAACAGCCGCCAGAGATTGGAGACTGCAGGGACTGCGATTACTTGGGATGTGGTTCGAACTGGTTTTCTGGAGAAGTACTTTCCGGAGGATATTCAAAGTGCTAAGAAGATAGAGTTTCTGGAGCTGAAGCAGGGCAATATGACGGTGGCTGAGTATGCTGCTAAGTTTGAAGAGTTGGTACAGTATTGTCCTCATTACAATACTGACGGAGCGATGACCTCCAAGTGTTTGAAGTTTGAGAATGAGTTGCGTCCAGAAGTTAATATGGGGATCGCTTGTCAGAAGATCAGGGATTATCCTGAGCTGATAAGCAGAAGCAGGATTCATGATAATGATAATCGGGCTAGGATTGCACATTACAAGGCTGCAAATGACCGTAAGGGTAAGCAGAGGTTTGGTGGTACTC